TCTCTCTCTCTCTCTCTCTCTCTCACACACACACACACACACACACACACACACACTTTTATGTCTGCCTGTCTATTGTCTTGTTTTTCCTCCTCCCCCGATTTTTTTCTTACTTTAGTCTGTTGGAGTGAGCACCCTCGATCAGTGCTAAAAAGTAGGCGGTCCGTTGTTTGCAGCGCGTACAGCACTCTTATGGGGGGCCGCTTGGTTCGGGATGACTCTGTTGCCTTTGGGTGATGGCGGATGTTCGCCTGGGTGACTCCCTGGCTCAGCGGGTGGTGAGAACCAACAGTCTGCAGGGTTCAATTGTCATGCGAGTAGGTAATGTGCCACTCTGCTCCGTGTTGGACGTGCAGATTGCCTTGTCTGCGCTCCACCGCTGCCTTGCTGACTGTCCTGCTTGTGTTGAATGTAGTTTTTCCAAGGCTGTTGTGTTCACTGTGTGATGTGGTTGTGGTCTTACTGTTGCCCTGTGCTTCGCTGCATTGCTGCCTTGCTGCCCATCGGTGTGCCGTGCCTTCCACATTCTTGGCTTGTGTGCCGTGTAATGTGGCTGCTCTGTTGGTGCTGCCCTGTGCTTCGTCGTGTTGTTGCCCTGTTGCTCGTCATCTTGCCTATCCGCGTGCTGTGACTTCCATGTTCCTAGCTTGTGTGCCGTGTAGTATGGCCGCTGTGTTGGTGCTGGCTTGTGCTTTGCCGCGCTGTTGCCCTGCTGATCGTTCGCTTAACGTGTCGTTCCAGTCGTTTTTAGTGTTGTGCAGTCGGGTTGTTCCAGCAGCATTGCCTGGACGGTCTGCCTTCAACATGGGTCAAAGGGTTCATAACCCAAACCATCAATACGGAGATTCCGCAGATCGTCAAGGGTTCAGCCTCCTGATGAGTCGGTGCAACTTCGACGCAACAATCTATCATCAGTTTTCTCGGTCTTTGCCTGTTTCGGTACTCGTATTTTTCTTTGTTTTTCTATGTTTTTTTGGCATGTTGGTTTCGGCTTGGGCACTGTGTATTGTCTGTCTGCCCACCCACCTCCCCCACGCCCTCCAGCCTTTGCTCTCTGGTGACACTTCTTGTCATCAACTGTTGTGTCCTCTGCCTTTTTCCTCACTGTTGTTCTCCTGGACTCGACCTTTGTCTTTCAACCATCAGGCTGAGCACTTGCCATGACACTTTGGTCCGTCTGTGCAATGGCATTCTCGTTTGAATGCTGTTCTCTTGTTCTGCCGTCGTGGTTTTGGGAAAGGCCGTCTGGTGTGCAGCTTGGTCACTGGGGTTACGTTTTATTTCTTTAAGCCCCCCTCTCCCCCTTCTCCCCCCTCTCCCCCCTCACACACACACAGGCCCAAGAACAGGAAGGCTGATGATAAGCCTGCCCACTGTACATAGAGCTCAAGCAGACTTCTCTCTCTCGTCCCGGACTCTCTCTCTCTCTCTCTCTCTCTCTCTCTCTCTCTCTCTCTCTCTCTCTCTC